GGGGGCCCCTTGCAACTGCATCCGATGAAATATTCATGCTGCAGCAGCAACATGAATATATACTCGATGCTAAGAGGGAGCCAGGGGGGCCCCTGAGGGCCCCCCTACAACAATGGAGGGTACTAAAGGCATTAAGGGTAGGGGATCGTGTACTTATTGATGATGGTAAGGTAGAGCTAAGAGTAGTTGAACTGTCTCCTTTGCTGCAGCAACTGCAGCAACAGCAGCAACAGCAGCAACAGCAGCAACAACAGCAGCAACAGGAAGAGGAATGGGATATAGATGAGGAAGGAGAAGAAAGAGACATAGCAGAAAAAGGGTACTGGGTTCGTTGTATAGTAGAGACAGGGGGCCCCATTAGCAGCAAGAAAGGTGTCTCCTTTCCTGATAGTCTCCTCTCCTTATCTGCTATAACAAGAAGAGACAAACAATTAGCAACAATTGTCTCCTCATGGGGTGTAGATTGGATAGCTGTCTCCTTTGTACAGACACCGCAAGATATTACCTCTCTTAGGAGTCTCCTACTGCAGCAGCAGCAGCAGCAGCAACAGCAGCAGCAGCAGCAGCAGCAACAGCAGCAGCAGCAACAGCAACAGATAGGAGAAGGTACTCCTGGATATATTGCTGATTTATCTCCTCCTCTGTCTCCAATCCCTATGATAGATCCCTCTTCTGCTGGTGCTTCCTCTGCTGCTGCTGCTGCTGCTACAGCAGGAGGAGGAGGAGGAGGAGGTGTGTTGCCTAGCAGCAGCAGCAGGAGCAGCAGGAGCAGCAGGAGAATACCTGGATTAATAGCAAAGATAGAGAAGAAAGTAGCATTAAATAGACTAAAAGAAATAATAAATAATAGTGATGGTATAATGGTAGCAAGAGGAGACTTATGTATAGATGTGTCTCCTTTTTATTTGCTGCATGCACAGCAGCAAATAATTCAGGTGTCTAGGCAGCTTAATAAACCCTATATAATTGCTACACAGATGCTAGAGACTATGATTAATTGTCCCCTTCCTTCTAGGCCTGAGGCTATAGATACAGCAGCAGCAGCAGCAGCAGCAGCAGACTCTCTTATGCTCTCTCAGGAGACTGCAGCAAGCAGCAGGGGACCTGTTATTGCATGCATGCAGCAGCAAATTATACACACTAACGAACTGTCTCCTTCTTATACACTGCAGCAACTTATTAAGCGACCAGCAGCAGCAAAAATATTTGCTGCTGCAGCACAGCTCTCTACAGGGGAGGGAATTAATCCTATTCCTTCTCCTCCTGCTGCTGCTGCATCTAATGCAGCAGCAGCAGCAGCAACAGCAGCAGGTGCTGCTGCTCCTGATGGAGATAGTAGGATGGCGGGAGGAGCGTCTCCTGCTGCAGCAGCAGCAACGAATGTGTGGCCCCAATGGCTACAGCAGCAGCAACAGCAACAGCAGCAGCAACATCAGCAGCAGAGGAACTATGGTGGTGTGGGGCCACAGCAGCAGGAGCAGCAACAGCAGCAGGAGGAAGAGGAGGAAGAGGGACCAGGAGAATTAGTAACAGCAAAGGCATTAGCAGCAGGTGCAGCAGCAGCAGCAGAAGCAAGTAATGCTCAGGCAATAATAACAATGACGGGGGGCCCCCAGGGGCCCCTCTCCTTATCTGCATTAAGGTACCCTACCCCTATAATTGCATGCACAACAGACATAAGAGAGGCTCGTTATATGCAGCTATTTTATGGTGTATTACCTGTCTATATAGACCCTCAGCAGCAGCAGCAGCAGCAGCAGCAGCAGCAGCAAGAGGGGGGGCCCCAAGGGGAAAGAAATAATATATGTAGAGATAATTGGGTACAGATAGCAATAAAAAAAGCAAAAGAAGAAGGTCTGCTGCAGCAGCAAAAGAACCTTGTTGTTGTATGGGGCCCCCAGCAGCAGCAACAGGGGGGCCCCCAACAGCAGCAACAGGGGGGCCTCCAAGGACGGTACCCTACTAGTAATACTTTTATTACCCTATGTACTACAGAATAAAATCCTTAACCTCGAGGGTTTAGGGTTTAGGGTTTAGGGTTTAGGTGCAGCAGCAGAGCAACAACTGACCATGAAGGAAAGCGGAGGCAGAAGCACCAACAGCAGAGCAGCAGCAACAGGTCGTGCAGCACGAGTGGCGGCGACAGCAGCAGCAGCAGCAGCAGCAATTCCTGTGGGGGCTCTCACTTCTTTGCTGCTGCTGTCTGTCTCTGTTATTGCTGCTGCTGCTGCTGCTGCTGCTGCTGCTGCTGCGGCTTCTGCTGTTTGTTTTTCCGTTGCTTGCTGCTGCTGTCTCTGCTGCTGCTGCTGCTGCAATAATAACTGCAGCAGGATGGAGACAGCAGCAGCAGCAGCAGTGTCTCCTTTCTCTTTTCTTTTGTCTCCTTTTTCTTTTCTTTTTCTTTTTTTTTTCTCTTAATAAGACAAAGTGTCTCCTTTTATACCCATTAAGGAATATTTCTATAAGAAAGGAAAAAAAGGAGACACTTTATGCCCCCCTTTGTAGCTAGCTAGGTCTAGCAAGCTACAGGTAGCTAGCTGCAGTATTCTATTACTATCTGTCCCTAGCTAGCTACAGCTAGCTAGCTCTATTATGTCGTAGCTAGCTGTAGCTAGCTATAGCTAGCTATAGCTAGCTACAGCTAGCTACAGCTAGCTAGCCCAAGGTGTAGCTAGCTAACTGGTAGATAGTAGCTAGCTGTAACTAGCCATACAGCTAGCTAGCCAACTTGCTGCTGCTTGCTGCAGGTGTATGCGGCTAACCTGCGGATACACCGTAGAAATATGTCCTGCTGCAGCAATAAAAAGGGTATTAACAAGGAATTAATTAATTAATTAATTAATTAATTTATTTATTTATTTATTTATTTATTTATAAATATAACAATAAACATTAAAATAAATAAATAAACATTAAACTAAATAAATAAATAAATAAATTAATTAATTAATTAATTAATTAATCAATTAAGACAGACAGAAGGCGTGGGGTTTTGTTGGTTGTTTATTTATGCATGCAGTCTGCATGCATGCATGCATGCATGCATGCATTTATTAATTAAATAAAATAAATAAATAAATAAATAAATAAATTGATTAATTAATTAATTAAATAAAAAGAAAAAGAAGAAAGACAGCAGTGTGTAGCAGGTGGTCTACTGCTGCTGCTCCTGTTGCCGCTGCCGCTGCTGCTGCTGCTAGGGTGTCTATGCACCTTATTATATGTATTTATTATATATAATATATTATATATATTATTTATTTTATTTATAAATATAAATAAATAAATAAAAAGGGAAAAAGAATTAAAAAAAGGCAGCAGACAGCAGCAGCAACTCCTCCCCCCTCCCCTTATTAGCGGACATGTGCCGATACACTGCTGCTGCAGCAAACCATAAACCCTAAACCCTAAACCCTAAACCCTAAACCCTAGAGTTGAAGCCTTCTTATTGTGTGTTAAACTGTATTAAGTTTTATTTATAAACCCTTATAAACCCTAAACCCTAGGGAGGTTTGCTGGAGGGTTGTGGCTAGGGTTTGTCTGTCTCTCTCTTTCTTTGTCGAGTAGTAAACCCTCATAAACCCTAAACCCTCATATAAACCCTAAACCCTCATATAAACCCTAAACCCTCATAAAAAACCCTAATAAAGAAGATGCAGGGATTTTCTTTTCTTCTTCTTTTCTTCTTATGGTGTATAATAAGAGAAGGGAGAGAAGCAGCAGCAAGTTTGCTGCTGCAGCATAAAACTGCCTTTATAAACCCTTCCTCAAACGTAAACCCTAAACCCTAAACCCTAAACCCTCAATAAACCCTATAAACCCTTAAAACCCTCAATAAACCCTCAATTAACTCTCAATAAACCCTCAAAAACCCTAGCTAGACTATTATATCTATATATGTAGCCAATACTATCTATCTCCTCTCTTTTATATATATATTTATATTTATTTATTTATTTATATTTATTTATTTATTTATATTTATTTATATATATGTGTTATATAGGGTTTAATAACATTTAAAAACCCTCTTCCCTCCGCATCAGCAGCAACCCCTGCAGCAGCAGCAGCAGCAGCAGCAACAGCAGCAGGAGCAGCAGGAGAAGAAGGAGGCGCAACAGGAGAAGGAGTAGCAAACCCTAAAAAAGGGTTTAGATTAACTTTTTGCGAAGGACGTGATGATGGTGTTGCATTAGTAACAGGAGGGAGTAGAGGAATAGGGTTTGCAATAGCTAAAACCCTAGCACAAGGAGGAGTAAATAATATTATTTGTGTTGCTAGGGATCAGGTAAATGCAGCAACAGCAGCAGCAACAACAGCAGAAGCAGCAGGGGGAGATAGAGGGGAGAAAAAGGAAGAGACAGAGGGGTTTTTGTTCGTTGGACTTGAGCTGTTTTTATTTTTTTTATTTTTTAGGGTTTAGGGTTTAGGGTTTAGGGTTTAGGGTTTAGGGTTTATATTTGTTGTGTATGCAGGCAGCATGCGACAGTGCAGCAGAAGAGATAAAAAGATTAGGTGTAAATTGTGAGGGTTTAGGTATAGATGTTAGTGATGGATCTGAGGTGTCTAGACAGCTAGATAAATTAATAAATAAATATAAAAGAATAGATATATTAATTAATAATGCAGGTATAACTAAGGATAATTTATTCATAAAAATGAATATAAATGATTGGCATGATGTTATTAATACTAATCTTTATTCTGCCTTTTATTTTACACAACCTGTTATCAAAATTATGTCCAAATATAAGTATGTACACTCTAAACCCTAAACCCTCATAAACCCTAAACCCTAAACCCTCATAAACCCTAAACCCTAAAAATTCAAAAATTTTAAAAAAACCCTAAAAATACAAATATATAATAAAAAGATGCAGAAAAAAGGAGAAAAAAGAGGAAAATAAATAAAAAATATATCCCTATCTCTCCCTATAAATAAATAAATAAATATGTGTATATATATATATTTTTTTTGTAGGTACGGACGTATAATAAATATGTCCTCTGTAGTAGGAATAGGAGGAAATAAAGGACAAGTTAATTATTCTGCATCTAAAGGGGGATTAATTTCTTTTAGTAAATCTTTATCTAAGGAATATTCATCAAGAAATATTACTATTAATGCTATTGCCCCTGGATTTATACAATCTAATATGACAGATAAGATGACACCAGAGGCAAAGGTATATTCTATTTATTAATTAATTAATTAATTAATTAATTAATTAATTAATTAATTAGTTTATTTATGTTTATTTATCTTATTTATTTATTTTTTTCTTGTTTTTTTTTATACTATTAATGTTATTGCCCCTGGATATATACAATCTTATATGACGGATAAGATAACACCAGAGGCAAAGGTATTATTTATTTATTTATTTATTTATTTTATTTATTTATTTACTTTATTTGTTTATTTATTTATTTATTTATTTATTTATTTATTTTATTTACTTTGTTTTGTTTATTTTGCTCTTTTTTTGGTCTCTTTTCCTTATATTTATTTTTTTTATTTATGTATGCATTTTGTCTCCTTTTTCTTCTTTTTTTGTCTCCTTTTTCTTCTTTTTTTGTCTCCTTTTTTTATGTATTGTGTATCCTTCTTTCTTTTGTCTCCTTTTATTATTTATTTTGTCTCCTTTTTTTATTTATTTTGTCTCCTTTTTCTTCTTTTTTTTTCTTGTCTCCTTATAGGCTGGTACTCTATCGACAATCCCTGCTGGTCGCCTTGGCACACCACAAGAGGTAAATTGTTGCTGCTGCTGCTGTTGCTGCTGCTGCTGCTGCTGCTGCTGCTGCTGTTGGTGGTGGTGGTGCTGCTGCTGTTGCTGCTGATGTTCCTTTTGCCTGTTTCCCTTTGTTTGTCTTAGTTAGTCTCCTTATGTGTCTCTCCCTTTCTTTATCTCCATGTGTCTCCTTTCCCCTCTCTGTCTCCTTTTTATTAATATTAATATGTCTCCTTTCCTCTCCCTGTCCCTTTGTCTCCTTTTTATGTATTTATTTATTTCCTTAGGTAGCTAACTTAGCTGCCTTCTTAGCATCAGACCAGGCCTCTTATATTACTGGCAAAGTTATACCTATTGATGGTGGCATGCTATTCGGTTCCAACTAAACCCTAAACCCTAAACCCTAAACCCTAAACCCTAATTAAACCCTAAACCCTAATTAATTTCTAAACCCTAATAATTATACCATAAACCCTAATGATGAAACCCTAAACCCTAAAAATCATGAGATAAACGTTATAGGAAAATAGTACCCTCCTATTACAAAGGAAGGACCCGCTCAGCAGGGGCCCCTGAGGGCCCCCAGAGGCCCCCAAGGGCCCCCAGAGGCCCTCAGGGCCTCCCCACACATGGGGGGCCCCTCGTAGTACCCTGAGGCTCCTTTACAGACTACATTCCGTCTTGCCTTAAAGGACCCCTTTAGGGCACTAAAGGGGCCCCCCCCCCACTGTCTGGGGGCCCCCCTGTAGAGGGGCCCCTATTCCTCGAGGGGCCCCCCCACTGCTACCCTCCATAGCCGTGCTTACACCTTATGCATTGGGGGGCCCCTCCAATTTGAAGAGTTTGTGTTAAGGGGGGCCTCTTCCCCTCTTAAGGGTCCCCTAGAAAGGGTGGGCTGTGGGGGCCCCCTCTCCCTTTTTGTTTTGTTTTGCGGGGCCCCCCAGTTATACAGCCCGAGTCGGGGTGTATGTTGGGGGAGGGGGGGGAGGGGGGGGCCCTCCCTCAGTACCCAGCGTACCCCTCGGGGGGCCCCTATAACACTCAACTTATTTGTTTGTACGGTAATCAATGCATTGAACCCAACGCGAAAATAACGAAAGGGGGCCCCTAGGGGGCCCCCTAAGGGGGCCCCTTAGTAGACACCTTAGTGGGCCCTGTGGGGCCCCCTTGGGGGCCCCACGTGCGCTGCTAGCTGCGCAGTAGGGTGGGTCTTCAGAAGCAGCTAGCACTATTATGACATAAAAACCTATGGGGCCCTAGTGGGGGGCAGGGGCCCCCACGAGGGGCCCCCATCAGGGGCCCCTCTTTAGGCCTGAGGGTATCCGTTGTTGAGGGCCCCCTAAGAGGTATCCTCATATGCTGCTGCTGCTGTTGCTTCTGCTGCAGCCTCTTCCCTTTTCTCATTTGCTGCAGTGGGAGAGGGCCCAGACACACCAGCAGCAGCATCAGCAGCAGCAGCAGTTGCTGCTGCTGCGTCTGAGACAGGAGCAGCAGATACAGGGGCTGGCACAGCAGCGGCAGATTCTGTTTCCCGTGGTTGCTGCTGTGGCTGCTGCTGCAGCTGTTGTAGGGGCTGTTGTGGCATCTGCTTCTGCTGCTGCGGCTGCTGCTGCTGCTGCTGTTGTTGCTGCTGCTGTTGCTGCTGCTGCTTGTGCTGCGGCAGCAGATGTGGTGCCTCCCTTAGCTGCTTCTTGAGTGCATCTATCTTTTGCTGCAGTCCGTCATTTTCTTGTCTTAGTGTTGAGTTAGATAGACGTACAGCCTCAACTTGATAGGATAAATCTGCAGCAGCAGCAGCAGCAGCAGCAGCAGCAGCAAGGGTCAAGACAGCAGCAGAAGCTACAGCAGCAGCCGTACCTCAAGAGGTCAAGGCAGCAACAGTAGCAGCAGTGGCGCAGCAGCACCAGCAAATCTACCGGCTGATAGCTTCATACAGAAACACCATATCGGCATCAGTAGCAGCAGCAGCAACAGCAGCAGCAACAGCAGCAGCAGCAGCAGCAGCAGCAGCAGCAGCAGCAAGTAACTGACCAGACAATTCTTCTTGCATTTCGATGATTTTCTCGATAATTTCGTCTGCCGTCATGCTGCAGCAACAAATACAAACAAAGACACAAAAATATTCAGCTGTACCCCCTACTCAAGGGGCCCCCTAGGGGCCCCGTAGGGGGCCCCCATACCCTAAACAGCTAGCAACCGTCCTAGAGGCCCTGAAGAGTACTGGGGCCCCTTCTAGAGGAAAAAGGGTACGGAAATAAATGCTATAGGGTACAACATACTCATTAATGCGGAGGTCGGGGGCCCCTGTGGGCCCCTGTCCTTCTATGGCGGGTTGTATAGCCATTGTTCTTAAGAAGGAGCAAACCCTAAACCCTAAACCCTACACACTAAACCCTAAACCCTAAACCCTAAAGAGAGAGGACAAAAGGAGCAAAAATATAATAATTGGAGTTAGTTTAGATGTTGCAGTTGCATGCGCTGCTGCTTTTGCTGCTGCTGTTTGTGTGTGCGTGTTACAACGGCACGACAGCCAGGAGCAGCAGCAGCAGCAGCAGCAGCAGCAGCACGAGAGGCTGCGCTTGCTGTTGCACGGTTTTCTAATGGTTTCCCTAAAGCCAAAATAATAAATAAAATAATAAAATATAATTAAATTAAATTAATTAACTTATACACAGCAAATAACAGCAGCAAAAGGGCCCCAAGCAGCAGCAACAGCCGCCAGGTCCAGCGGCCGCAGCAGCAGCAGCAGCAACAGTAGCAGCAGCAACAGCAGCGTACAGCCAGCTACTTCTTCTATTCCTCTTCTATCCTTTTTAATGTAAATAAAAACAATAAAATATAAAAAAATAAATAAATATATTAATTAATGTATTGTACCCTTTTTTTCTTTAGTTTCGTTAGGGGGGCCCCCAGGAGGGGGCCTCGCAGCAGCTCGGTAACAACAACCAACAACCCCACCCCCATCGCTGCTGCTGCTGCAGCTGCTGCTATTGCTGCTGCTGCTGCTACTGCGTTTGCTGCTGCTGCTGCTCCTTTTTAATATTGGCTTAAATGTTATTTTTTGTATGTCTCTATACACCCCAGCAGGAAGAGTAGGCGGGGGCCCTAAGATGCTGCAGCAGCCACGGGGGCCCCAGGCGGGGCCCTCCACAGATGCAGCAGCAGCAGGAGCAACAGGAGCAACAGCAGCAGAAGCAGCAACAGCAGCAACAGCAGCAGCAGAAAAAGCAGCATCTACAGGTACTCCCCCACCATCTAGCTCTTTTCCTGAGTGCTGCTCTAAACCCTCCTCTTGCTGCACTCCAACAGCAGCAGCAGCAGCAACAAACTCTTGCTGCAGCAGCAGGAAAGCTTCTTCTCTGTCTCGCGGATACCGCAGCAAGACATCCTCTTCCCTCTCTGCTGCTAGGGCCTTCTATAGGAGCATCGCAGACGCGGGCCCCCCACGCTGCCGCAGCGGCAGCAGCACACACAGCAGCAGCAGCAGCAACAACAACAACAGCAGCAGCAGCAGCAGCAGCAACAGCAGCAGCAGCAGTACGAGGAACATGGGGGACCTGTTTGCTCCATCAGGAGCACCTGCATCTGCAGCTTTCTCTGCAGCACCGTCAGTAGCACCAGCAGCAAATGCAGCAACAGCAGCAGCTGCAGCAGCAGCAGCAGCATTTGGTGCTGCACATACACCCCAGAGAGCAGCAGCAAGAGGGACAAGCCGTGCTGCAGCAATTCTATCAGGAAATTTCTTAGGATCGTCTCCTTCGGATAGCGGCAGCACACTGTCTCCTCGTAGCTGCAGCAGCAGCAGCAGCATGCCTTCCTCACAAGCAGCAGCAGAATCTCCCTTACGTGCAGCAGCAGCAACAGCAACAGTAAGCTCTCCCGCTGCTCCTGCTGCTGCTGCAGCAGCAGCAGCAGCAGGAGAAGGGATATTACCTTTGTGTCCTCAAGCATTGACGTCGCCAAATCTTACGCTCTCTGATCCCGTCTGCTGCAGCACTCCTGCTGCTTCTGCGCAGCAGCAGCAGCACCAGCATCAGCAGCAGCAGCAGCAACAGCCGCAACAGCAGCAGCAGCAGCAGCAGCAGAGGCAGTCAGATGTATATACACCTGACTTTGGGGCCCCTCCTTCGAGCTGCAATAACGTCAGCTATAATCTGCTGCAGAGCCCTGCTGGTGCTGCTGCTGCTGCAGCAGCAGCAGCAGCAGAAAACTCTATTGATGTAGCAGCAGCACTAAGTGCTGCTTCTGCTGCTTCTGCTGCAGCAGCAGCAGCTGCTGTTGACGGTAGCCCGCTGTGGATATCCCCTGGTGCAGCAGCAACAGCAGAAGACATGCAGCTAGAGGCAGCATTTGCTTCTTCTTCTGCTGCTGCTGCTGCTGCCGCTTCGCCAGCAGCAGCATATATAGAGCAGCAAGATGCTCCAATGGGGTCTCCTGCAGCAGCAGCAGCAGCAGGTCCTGCTGCTGCTGCTGCTGCCACTGCTGCTGTAGTAAATCTTCTTGAGCGGCCAATAACAGCAGCAAAAACAACACAAACAGCAGCAGCAGCAGCAAATGCAACGGAAGCATGCGTCCAGGCGGGAGCAACAGCAGCAGCAGCAGATGCAGCAGCAGAAGCAGCAGCAGAAGCAGCAGCAGCAGCAGCAAGCCTGTCATATAAGAGTGTCTCCAGCTGCCGCAGTTCTCAGCAGCAGCAGGAGCAGCAAGAGCAGCATCAGCAGGAACAACAGGGCCAGCTACAGCAGCAAGAATTGAAGCAAGAGCAGCAGCAGCAAGCGGAGCAACAGCAGCAGCAACAGCAACAGCAGCAGCAACAACAAGAGCAGCAACAGCAACAGCAACAGCAGCAGCAGCAGCAGCGCGCAGCCAGTGTGTCTCTGCATGCTGGCAAGAGCCTGTTGCGTCCTCCTACACATATATCTGCTGCAACAATAGCTGCTGCTGCTGCTGCTGCTGCAGCAAGAGCAGCACGAGCAGCAAGAGCAGCAGCTCACAACCGCAGGTCTGTCTCTACCCCTAACTTGCCTGCTGCTGTTGCACCGCAGCAGCACACTGCAGCAGCAGCAGCTGCTGCTGCTGCACCAAGAGCAACCAGAGCAGCAACGGCAGCAGCAGCAGCAGGTCACCACCGCAGGTCTGCCTCTACCCCTAACCTTTCTGCTGCTGCAGCTTCTCAGCGGCAAGGTGCAGCAGCACCAGCAGCAGCAGCAGCAACAACAACAACAGCAGCAGCAGCAGCAGCAGCATCAGTGCGGAGGTGTACCCGGAGGGCCCCATGGAGGCCCCCAGGGAGGCCCATTCGTTCTGCTTCGGACCTTCCGCTGCTGCAGCAGCAGCAGCAGCAAGCCAGACATCTTGCTGCTGCTGCTGCTGCTGCAGCAACAGCAAGAACCAGAGCCGCAACAGCAGCAACGGCAAGAACCGCAGCAGCAGCAACAACTGCAGCAACAGCAAAAGCCAAAGCAGCTAACTCAGCAGCAGCAGCAGCAGCAAGGGGGGGCGCCGCAACTCCCCGCAGTCGTCGCCCCTCTCCGCCTGCTGCTGCTGCTGCTGCTTCTGCTTCATGTCCATCAAGAGTTGCTGCTGCAGCAGCAGCAAGAAGTGCAAACGCTGCAGCAGCAGCAGCAACAAAGACAGCAGCAGCAAGGAAGGCAGCTTGCGCTCCAGCAGCAGCAGAAGCAGCTCCCGCTGCAGTAGCAACCCCAGCTCCTGCAACGCCTCCAAAAGCGCCAGCAGCAGCAAGGGCAGCAGCAGCACCAGCAGCAGCAGCAAGAGCACCAGCAGCACCACCAACGGCAGCAGCACGAGCAGCAGCAACACCACCACCAGCAACAAGAGCACCAGCAACACCAGCAGCAGCAGCAAGTGCACCAGCAGGACGAGCAGCAGCAGCAAAAAGAGCACCAGCAGCACCACCAGCAGCAGCAGCAACAGCACCAGCAGCAGCAACAACAGCACCAGCAGCACCAGCAGCACCAGCAGCAACAACAACAACAGCACCAGAAGCAACAGCTGCAACAGCAGCAACAGCACCAGCACCACCAGAAGCAAAGACAGCACCGCCAGCAGCAACAACGGTAACAGCAGCAGCAGCAGTAGCACCAGCACCAGCACCAGCAGCAGCAGCAGCAGCAGCTGCTGCTGCTGCAGCAAAGAGAAGAGCCTTTAAAAGGGATCTGTCTCCTAGACATGTCCCTCCCCCAAGACGCCGCTGCTTTGTTGCTGCTGCTGCTGCTGCAGCAAAAAGTACTTATCCTTCGTTAGCAGCAGAGGCTGCTGCAGCAGGTGCTGCTGCTGCAGCAAGGAGGAGAGCTGCTGCTGGTGGTGCTGCAGCAACAGCAGCAGCAGGAAAAGATTCACACGTCAGCAGCGAGAAACCCGCAACAGCTGCAACAAAAACTACAGAAGCCTCGGCAGCAGCAGCAGCAACAGCACCAGCAACAACAACAGCAGCAGCAGCAGGACCTGCTGCTGCTGAGTCTGCTGGTGCTGCATGGCCAACAGCAGCTGCCGCTGAAGGGAACGAAGCAACAGCAGCAGCAGCAGCGGCAGACGAAATAGTTGTCAATAATGAGTCAGCAGTAGCAGCAGCAGCAGCAGGTGAACCAGCTGCTGCTGCTGCTGCTGCAGAGGAGACAAACAGCAGCAGCAGCATAAGTAGGCACAGTCCTGCATGCTCTCCCCAGCTACAAGGGCAGCAGGAACACATGTGGGAGCAGCAGCAGCAACAGCAACAGCAGCAGCAGCAGGCGCGTAGGCTGGAGCCGCAGCCACTCATGGAGATGGCAGTAGACGGGGACCAACCTGCTGCTGCTGCTTCTGGTGCTGCTGCTCCTGCTGCTGCTGCTGCACATTCAGTAGATGGGGATACACCTGCAACTGCTTGTGTTGCTGCTGCAGCAGCAAGGCAGTTATTATCTCCTGGTGCAGCAGCAGCAGCTGCTGCTCCGAGTACAGCAGAAGCAGCGCTCGCATCTGCAGCAGCTGCTGCAGCAGCAGCGTCGTTTGCTGCTGCTGCTGCTGCTGCATCTCCCGAGGGGGGAGACACAAGGCCGCAGAGTCCCCACTGTGGTTTCTCCCCCGCTGCTCCTGCCCCTGCTGCAGCAGCAGCTGCTGCTGCTGCATTGCTGCCTCGTTTGTGCACGCCTGAGCAGGACATCACCGCAACAAGAGTAGCAGCAACAGCAACAACTGCAGCAACAGCAGCAACAGCAGCAACAGCAGCAACAGCAGCAGAGACCAACAGCAGCCCTTGGAGTTCTAATCTCCGCAGCAGCGCTGCTGTATCACCAAGGCATGCAGCAACAGCAGCATCAGCAGCAGCAACAGTTCCAGCAGCAGCAGCAGGAGATGGGTATACCCTGCGTCAGGGTCCATCTGTCTCCCCTGCAGCAGCAGCAGCAGCAGCAACAGCAGCAACTGCTAGCAGCAGCCCAGCAACATCTTCACCTGCAGAGCTGCCAGGGCAGCAAACTCCTTCAAAGACAGCAGCAACAGTAGCAGCAGCAGGTGCTGCTGGCACTGGTGAAGGTGCAACGGCTGCAGCAGCAGCAGCAGCTGGTGCTGGTGCTTCTGCTGCTGCACAGTCCCTGCTGCTGCGTCAGATTGATCAGGAAAATATAAATAGCAGCAGCAACAACAGCAGCAGCAGCAACAGCAGCAGCAGCGATGTGGTTGAGAAGCCGATAAAAGGTGAGGCAGCAGAGGCAGCAGAAGCAGCAGCAGCAGCAATAGCAGCAGCAGAAGCAGCAGCAGCAGCAGCAGAGGAAGAAATGCTGCTGCTAGAGAAGCCCTTCTGGTCTCCTATTGGAGACAGTAAACTTCATAGTAAACTCTGCAGCAGCGGCTGCTGCTGCTGCACTCCCCTGTCAGCTGCTGCTGTTGCTGCTGCTGAAGACGCAGCAGCAGCAGCAACAACGCGCCTTCTGCGCTGCATGCGTCCCCAGTTAGGAACATTCCTCAGTCAGCAACGCCGGCAGCAGCAGCAGCAGCAGCAGCACACAGTTGCAGCAATTCGTACAGCAGCAGGCCTTTCCCCGTCCCTCTGTCTTGCTGCTGCTGGAGTTCAGCAGGTGCAGCTGCTGCAACAGCAGCAGCCAAAGAAGCAGCAGCAGCAACAGCAGCAGCAGGCAGCAGAGCAGAGTCACTGTCTCTCTGCAACTGTAGCTTTGCTGCAGATGGCTTCTCTTCCTTCTCCAGCTGATCCAGCAGCAGCAGCACCAGCAGCAGCAGCAGCAAAAGCAGCAGCAGCAGCAACAGGAGACGAAGAAGGTTCATCTTGTGGGAAGGGAGGAGAGACAGAAGCAGCGCTGCAGCTGCTGCAGCGAGCAGCAAGACATCCCTATCTGTCTCTTGCTGCTGCCTGCTGCAGCAAAGGGGAAGTTAATAAGGCAATAGATCTAATGAGGGGTCTATACCTAATGGAGTGTCAGGTGTATGGGGACCTGCAGCAGCAGCAGCAGCAGCAGCAGTTGCTGCAGCTGCAGCAGCAGCAGCAGCAGGAACAACAAGATTCAGGAGCAGAAGCGCCTGGAGAAGAGTTGCTCATGCTGCAGCAGTTGCTGCTGCAGCAGCACCAAGAGCAGCAAATAGGGGACCCATTGTCTCCTCCTTCTCTCTTGCTGCTAACTTGCTGTTCCCTTCTCTGCTGCTGTCTTCTCTCCGACAGCAGCAGCAGCAGCAGCAGTAAGCAGGGCAAAGACAGCAGCAAGCACCGATCCGCAGCAGCAACCGCGCTTTTTGAGGAATTCTGCATGCAGCCTTTGCTGCGGTTGCTGCTGCAGCAGGAGGTGCTGCAGCAGCTGCAGGATGCCTTTGCTGCAGCAGGAGAAAGGAGAACAGGCAATTTGCTGCTGCAGCTAAAGGGGGCCCTGAGGGCCCCTCCGCCACCACTAAACCCTAGTGTTTGTCCCTTTTGCTGCCCCCTAGTGCAGCAGCAGCAGGAGAAGCAGCAGCAGCAGCAGCAGCTGAAGGGTTTAGGGTCCTCGGGTCAAGTAACACTTGCTGCAGTCTTGCTGCGTGCTGCATGTCTATACCTCTTAGAGTTTACCAAAACGCAGCAGCGGCAGCAGCAGCTGCAGCAGCAGCAGCACTTGCTGCTGCTGCAGCAGCTGCTGCTATGCGGCATTTGGCGCTATACATCAGGGGCCCCTGGGGGCCCCCTTGTCCCATTGCAGTTAAGTAGAGCAGCAGATGCAGCAATAGCCCTGCTGCTAGGAGGCCCCCGCATGCGCTGGGATAGGTGCAACAGCAGCAGCAGCAGCAGCAGCACTTGCTGCAGCACCAGCACCAGCAGCACCATCTCCTATAGCGGGGGCCTTCCATTTCAGGGAGTTTAACAATTTTTAATGGGCCCTGCCAGCCCCAAACTTTCTTTTGCATGCATTTAGGTGCATGCATATTGCATGCATGCATGCATGAACTTATGCATGCGTGCATGCATGCATGCATCTGTTTGGACAAAGGCAGAGAGCAAACAACAATAAGGGTTTATAATGTTTATAACAAGGCAAGAAAATATGTTCAATTGGGGCCCTTGCACGCATGCATGCATGTTGCAGCCCTTCATGATGCAGCAGCTGGAACAGCAGCAGCAGCTGGAACAGCAGCAGCAGCTGCTGCTGCTGCAGCAGCAGCAGTAGAATCTGGCTAACACAACAATAGATATCTAGGTATAATGGAGACACAACAGACAGAAGCCCCCTTGAGAACTAGCTTGCTGCTGCTGCTGCTGCTGTTGCTGCTGTTGCAGTTGCTGCTGCAGCACCTGTTGCAGTTGCTGCAGCTGCAGCAGCACCTGCCCTGCTGCCACTCCTACTAAGGGGGCCCCCCTAATGTACCCTTTGTATATTTAATTTTTACAAGGACGTTTACTTACGGGGGGCCCCCATGCTCAGTAGGAGACACTGCAACGCCTAGTTAGGCATATATATACTGGGGCCCACGCCCTCTGCATGCATGCGTGCGTGCATGCATGCGTATTGGGGCTGCATGCATGCGTACTGCATGCATGCATGCATGCGTGCATGCAGCCCCAATCAGGGTGTATGTATATATGGATGAATGTACACCTCTCGTTAGGTACAAGGAAGGGGGGCCCCCTTATAAAGCAAAAGTTTATTTGTTTTGTTTGCTGCTACTACGGGGGGCCCCTAAGACCTGCTGCTGCTGCTGCTGCTGCTGCTATTATTGTATTTAGGGGGCCCCCTTTATAAATCCCCAACAAGGTCAGCCCTAAACCTGCTGCTACTGGTTTCCCGCTGCTGCGTTGCTGCTGTCGTGCGATGTCGCTGGATTCTCTTCCTGGGCTCCTTCCCCTTGCTGCTGCTGCTGCTGCTGCTGCTGCTGCTGCTGATGGTGAGTTTCGCCTGACTCTGCAGCGGCGGCTGCAGCGGCAGCATTATCTGCAGCAGCAGCAGCATTATCTGCAGCAGCAGCAGCATTATCTGCTGCAGCGGCAGCATTTTCTGCAGCAGCAGCAGCATTTCCTGCTGCAGCTGCAGCAGCATTCCCTGCAGCAGCGGCTGCAGTGGCAGCAGCAGCAGCGGCCGTTGCAGCAGCGGGCGACGGCGCAGCAGGTGCAGCAGCAGCAGCTGCGGCTGCTGCCTGCTGCTGCTGCCTAGGACTTGGTGCTGCTGCTGCTGTTTGTCTATGCATTAAGGAAGAGAGACGAGAAGCAGCAAGGGGGCCCCCTGATGATCCTCCTAAGAAAGAATGCCAACTAAACCCTGTTAGTGCAGCAGGTACCCCTTGGGGGCCCCCCGATTCAATAAAACGAACATCTGCAGCACGAGCAGCAGCGCATGCAACAAACATATACATTCAATAATTGAATATTCTCCTGCTGATGCTGCTGCTAAAGGGTCTCGTGCTGCTGCTGCTGCTGTTGCTGTTGTGTCCTTGCTGCTGCAGCTGCTGTGCATCGCTCTCTCGTGCAGCAACACCAGCAGCAGCACCACCACCGCCACCACCATCACCATCACCACCACCAACAACAACAACAACAGCAGCACCAACAGCAGCAACAGCAACAGCAGCAGCAGCAGCAGCAGCAGCAGCAGGAGTGTAGTAGAATTACCACAATCGATACTTTTTTGTGATCTAAGACATGATGGAAGAAAATTCCAATGACGACGAATTGATATCGATATCACCGTACGGCCCACCTACACCAGCAGCAGCAGCAGCAGCAGCAGCAGCAGCAGCAGTAGCAGCAGCAGCAGCAGCAGCAGCAGTAGCAGCAGCAGCAGTAGCAGCAGCAGCAGCAGCAGCATCAATAATAGCAGGCCTCTTTGTGCTGCTGCTGCTGCAGGTAGGCGATCAGCAGATACAAACGTTGTGCGCATGCAGCAGCAGCAGTAGCAGCAGCAGCAGCAGCAGCATACATTAATAAATATATTTATTTATTTATATTTAATTAATTTATATTTAATTAATTATTATTTTATTTATTTATATTTTATTTAATTAAAAGGGGGCCCCCTCCTGCATGCGCTAAATAAACAACCACCACTAACAATAAACACCCCCCTGAGGGTTTAGGGTTTAGGGTTTAGGGTTTAGGGTTTAGGGTTTAGCTAGCTAGCTGAATACCTGCCTTGATCTACTTAAAAAAGAAAAGACCCCCCATTTGCTGCTGCTGTTGCTGCTGTTGCTGCTGCTGCTGCTGCAGCAGAAAGGTACATACGTACATAAAAGAGGAGGTAGGGGCCCCCCTTGGTGGTTGGGGCCCCCCATGATTATATAAGGAGTGTTTAGGGTTTGTGTGTTTATACAGGGAGCTGCGTATACACCCCGTGGTGTATTTATATTTATATATTTGTTTAAATAGTAAAATAAAATATTATTTGCTGCTAGTAGTAGTTTTGCTGCAGCTGCTGCAGCAGCAACAGCAGCAGCAGCAGCAGCAGCAAGGCAAGGCAACTTTGCTGCAGTTTCTTGCGGTGTACAGACACTTAAGTTTGCTGCTTCTTTCATCCATACTCTTCATTGCTAAACCCTAAACCCTAAACCCTAAACCCTTATTTATTTTTTTTTCTTATTTATTTCTTCTTCTTTAAGACTTAGGGGGAAAAGAAGAGGCAGCAGCCACCCGCTCGCTCCCTCCCCCCCGTGCTAGGGTTTAGGGTTTAGGGTTTAGGGTTTACGGGGTGTACAGACAACAGTATACTGTTTGTTGCATCAGCACTACGGAGCAGCAGCCTCTCAACTGCAGCAGACTCCCTTTCTGCTGCTGTTGTTGCTGCTGCTGCTGCCTCTGTTCCTTCTGCTGTTCTTGTTGCTGCAAACACTGCAACAGGGTTTTTTAGGGTTTACACTTTTTTAGGGTTTAGGGTTTAGGGTTTAGGGTTTGTGAGGATGGAGAGTTCTGCTGGGGAGGATCAGCCTGGTAGATCTCATGGCGTTCTTTCTTTTTCTTCTACCCCTAAGCGCAGCAGCAGCTGCTGGCTCGGCAGCAGCAGCAGCAGCAGCAGCAGCACAGCAGCAGCAGCAGCTGCAGCAGCAGCAGCAGCAGCAACAGGACCCATCAGCTCCCCTCAAAGGACTCACTGCTCGCACACCATCGAAGAAATTCGCGCTCGTCTTAAACCCCGAGTACCATGTGGTGAGGGTTTAGGGTTTAGGGTTTAGGGTTTAGGGTTTGTTGTTATCGTTAGTTTACTTCTTCCCTCCTCATTGTATCCCCGTCATATCTCCCTCCAGGGACCACTGTCTAGGGTTTAGTTTTTTCTTGAGGGTTTAGGGGATTTTTAAGGGTTTAAGTTTTTTTCTAGGGTTTAGGGTTTAGGGTTTAGGGTTTGTGTGTAGGAGTAGGAGGGGCTTCGGGTGTATCTACAGCTGCTGGTTCTTACGAAAACCTCCCGACCTCTCCTTCTCGTCTAAGGCAGCGGCTGCATGCAGATTGTGCTGCTGCTGCTGCTGCTGCTGCTGTTGGTGCTGCTGCTGGTGAAAGCCCTCATAGCAGTAATAGTTGTGCTGCATCAACAGGTGCAGCAGCAGCAGGGACAGCAGCAACAGCAGCAGCAGCAGCAGCAGCAGCAGCAGCAGCAGGAGAGCCTGGGGTGTCTGTACACCGGGAGGCGGAGACACCTCCTCTTCGTAGTTTTGCCTCTGATTGTTTTGATTCCCTATTAAGGAGGAGACAAGCAGCAACAGCAGCAGCAGCAACAGCAGCAGCAACAGCAACAGCAGCAGCAGCAGCAACAGCAGCAACAGCAGCAACAGCAGCAAATAGGACTGCAGCAACACAACTCGATGCTGCAGACACTAAAAGTTGTCTCCTTATGCTCCATGAGCTACTAGGTAGGCAGCTAGCTACCTACCTACCTAGCTAGCTAGCTAGCTATGGTTGTCTGGCTATTGCTGCTGCTGCTGTTGCACTTCCTGTTCTTGCTGCTGCACTCCCTATTACCGTTGCTGCTGCTGCTGCTGCCCTTCTTCCTGCTGTTGTTGCTGTTGCACTTCCTCCTCCTCTCCTTCCTCCTACTGCACTTCCTATTACAACTCTACTACTACTGCTGCTGCTGCTGCTGCTGCTGCTGCTGCTGCTGCTGCTGCTGCTGCTGCTGCTGCTGCTGGTGTGTAGGGTTTGCGGAGGCAGCAGAATCTCATCGTCAGCAAGCAGTACAAGAAGCACAAAAGATAAGAGGGTTTAATACAGAATTATGTTTGCTGCTGCAGCAAGCAAACAGCAGAGAGCAGCAAATTATTGGCGAATTAGGCATCAATAGATCTTTATTAGCAGAGGCACATAATAAAATTATACTACTAGAAAAATCCGCTGAGGTTAGGGTTTAGGGTTTAGGGTTTAGGGTTTAGGGTTTAGGGTTTGGGAGGGTTTAGGGTTTGGGGTTTAGGGTTTAGGGTTTAGGGTTTGGGGTTTAGGGTTTGGGGTTTTGGATTTTGATAGCCACAGGATGAGCAAACCATTAGATGTTTCTGCATTACTCATGTATGGATATAATTAGGGTTTAGGGTTTAGGGTTTAGGGTTTAGGGTTTAGGGTTTGTGTGTTGCAGGAGTCTGCTGCTTCTTTAAGGACACAAAGAGACACTCTTGCTGAGAGACTTCAAGTCGTTGAGGCAGAGCTTGCTGTACGCTGCTGCTGCTGCTGCTGCTGCTGCTGCTGCTGCTGCTGCTGCTGCTGTTTGGTGCTGCTGTTGCTGCTTGCTACTTCTGCTGCTGCTGTTTACTGCCCGCATCCAGGAAGGTGGAGAGGCATGCACATTTGCTGCTGCTGCTGCTGCTGCTGCTGCTGCTGCTGCTTGTTTTGCTGCAGCGGTGTACTAGGGAGAATGAGCAGCTACGGCAGCAGCAAGCAGCAAGCGAAGCGTCTCTTCGTGAGGTGAGGGTTTAGGGTTTAGGGTTTAGGGTTTAGAGGGTTTGTTTGAATAGTTCTTATACAGGGTCTCTAATAAGGGGTAAACCGCCAAGGGTTTAGGGTTTAGGGTTTAGGGTTTAGGGTTTGTGTGCAGCTAGCAGCAATACGCGAGTCTCATGGTGTTATAGAAAGAGAGAAGAAACAATTGCAGTCAGAGGTAAACCCTAAACCCTAAACCCTAAACCCTTTTTTTATAGAAATCTCTTTTTTATTTGCTGCTGCATCTTGATGGATTCTTGCTGCCTCTCTTCCTAGTCGCTGTGTCCCTGCTGCGGCTGCTCGTGCTGCTGCTGCTGCTGCTGCTGCTCTTGTTGCTGCTGCTGTTGCTGCTGCTGCTGCTTGAGCTGTTGTACCGTTGCTCCCTCGCCCCTCTATCCCCCCCGCACTACTACTCCTACTACTGCTACTACTGCTGCTGCTGCTGTTGCTGCTGTTATTGCTGCTGCTGCTGTTGCTGCTGCTGCTGCTGCAGTTGGAGGCGCAAGCAGTAGCTAGTTCTCGTCTATTAAATGAGAGGATAGAGCTACAAGGGAAGGTGCAGCGGCTGCAGCTGCAGCTGCTGCAGGAAGCAGAAACCCTAAACCCTAGCAGCAACGAGCAGCAGCAGCAGCAGCAGCAAAGTTCTATTAAACATAGAGTAAGATACAACACCTCCTGCTGCTGCTGCTGTTGTTGTTGTTTTTGTTGCTGCCGTTGTTGCTTATCAGCTGCTGCTGCTGCTGCTAATTAGGTTGCTGCTGCTGCGCCTGGAGTTGCTGGAGCTCTAATAGTCTTGCTGCTGTTGCAGCAACTACGACAGCAGCAGCAGCAGCAGCAGCAGCAGCAAATGTTGTTCGTGTTGCTGTGTTGCTGCTGCATGCAGATGTTTGCTGGCAGCAGCCCTGTCTTTGATGAGACAGAGGAAGACAGCAGCAGCAGCCGTTTGCTGCTGCTGCTGCAGCAATTTGCTGCTGAGGTGTCTCCTCATCTAGGAGACAATGAAGCAAATGAGCTGCTGCAGCAGCAGCTGCTGCAGCAAGGAGCAGCAAAGGGGATCCTTGATGCGTTTCAACAGCGTACGTTGCTGCTGCTGCTGCTGCTGCATGTGTTGCTGTTGCTGCTGTTGCTGCTGCTGCTGTTAGTGTCTTCCTTTTTATTTTTTTTTCTACAGAATGGCAGCTATGGACTTTGTAGGGTTTAGGGTTTAGGGTTTAGGGTTTAGATTTTCCTTGTCTCTTTATTTATTTATTTATTTATTTATTTATTTACTTATTATTTTATTTATTTATTTATTTATTTATTTATTTTTGTGTTTTGTGTGTTGCAGTACGAGCAGAGAAGAACGAATTCCATGGCGTAAATAAACACTACTCTTTCCTTCTCTCCTTTTTGTCTCCTTTTTTTGTCTTTTTTTGTCTCCTTTTTGTCTCCTTTTTGTCTCCTTTTTGTCTCCTTTTATTGTCTCCTTTTTGTCTCCTTTTTTGTCTCCTTTTTTTGTCTCTTTTTTGTCTCCTTTTTTTGTCTCCTTTTTTGCCTGCTTTTTTTGTCTCCTTTTTGTCTCCTTTTTTTGTCTCCTTTTGTTTCTTTCTCCCTTTAGCCTTTTTCTTGCTGCATGTGTTGCTGTTGCTGCTGTTGCTGCTGCTGCAGTAGCTCATTCCTACACATTTTTTCCTGTTGTGTGTGTGTGTGTGTGTGTGTGTGTGTGTGTGTGTGTGTGTGTGTGTGTGTGTTTTCCTTGCTGCTGTTGCTGCTGCTGCTGCTGCTG